TTAGTGTGTAATTCATGTAGGATGTGTCTAACTCCTGGAGTTAGTGTCCAAGTCAGTAGAAGCAAATTTGTTTTTGTTTTTAGTATTTTACCTTGTTTTATATGGCAACTTGATTTGACTGTGTTTATAACTTCTTCGATTGTAATTGGTTTTGATGAATTATTGTCTGTACTTTATATGTCGTCTGTCTAAATCAGGTCTCTCTTGAAAATGAGTCCTCGTGACACAGTGAAACTAACCTGTAGAAATAAAGGTTGAATAGTGAATAGTTCCACAACAACACAGACAATTAAACTCTGAACAGAAAAAACAGATCTTTACACAACAAATGGAAAGTTAAAAGGAAACAAGCGGTCTGTTGATGCCCCCCCCCCCCCCAATCGCTGGGGGGTTTGAACAGTAGTTTGGCCCCAGAGCCGCAGGTTGCAGGGCCCTGGTTTATTACATCATGTTTCATTAAAGAAAATCCTCAGGAAACAGAGAACTATGATTTGTTGTTGAACACGTTCAGGTAAAAACAAATTAACCCCTTCTCTGTCAGCTCACCTTGCCATGGGGCTTGCTGCTGCTCTCCCAGCTCCTCTTATCCAGGGAGGGGGGCACCTGGTACACGTCCTGACCAGGTGCTGTACCCCCACCAGAAGCTGCTGCCTGCCCTGGACCAGGACCAGGACCAGGACCTGCAGAAGGAGGCACCTGGTAGATATCCTTCCCCGGCAGCTGAAACTGTCTCTGACCAAGAATCGGGGCCTTGCTAGGCGGTCCGGGCTGGGCTTGTGCAGACGGTCCGCTTGGACCACAGGGAACCTGATACAGACTTTGGGAGCTCAGCTTTGGACCGTGGGAGGGGGGCATCATGTAAATAGAGTCAGGGCTGCTCTTTGCAGCACTAGAACTAGAGAAAGCCGGGTGCATGGACGTGTACTGGACCGAAGGAAGGGGCTGATTAGCAGAGCCAGCAGGTGTTGGTTTGACATAGACGCTCTGAGCAGGAAGGGGTCGCTGCACCTGGGGGGTGGGACAGGTAGCATCTGCATCCTGTGTGGAAGGCGTGCCTGGTGGTTGCTGCTTGCTGTCATACATGCCAACCAGGATCTTCAGGCGATTCCCGGGGACGATGCCTTGGCGGCCGTGGAGCGAGCAGAGCCACCACCCGTCCAGACCCTGCGTGTCTCGCTCCAACACCGTCATGATGTCACCTTTACGGAAGGACAGCTCGTCAGGGGACTCCGCCACGTTGTCATACAGCGCCTTGGCCAAGATGTTCTGTGGACAGAAGAAAGAAATGAAACAGCTGTCAGAACATCTGCAAATTAAATTGACCGACCAGCCAGCACTCCTCAGCAAATATTTATTTTAAATAACTTGATGAGCTGTCAATGAAAAGTAGAAGCATCATTTTTACAAAGTTACTGAAATAAGAAGAAATAAATCAGTGAAAGACGTTCTCCAGAAGCTTTGAGCTTTGCTCTGTCAATATCAATTTATTTCTATAGCACACAAAAACAACAAAAGACTTTAAACACAAGCAATAAAATCTTAAAATCAATCCTGAAGTGGACAGGAGTCATGTGTTCGTGTTTATTAGTTGCCGTTAAAAGACGAGCTGCTGCGTTCTGGACAGATTGTAAACGATGCAAAGATGATTTGTCTAAACCAACATACAGTGAATTACAATAGTCCAAACAAGAGCTAATACAAGCATGAATCTCCTTTTCAAGGTCTCTGAAAGAGAGACAAGACTTCACCTTGACAGTCAGTTAGCTGGAAGAAACTGGATTTCACAACTGAATTTATCTGTTTGTCTAATTTAAAAATAAGGAAGGTAGGTAGGTAAGTAGGAAGGTAGAAAGGTAGGAAGGAAGGTAGGAAGGTAGGTATGTAGGTAGGTAGGTAGGAAGGAAGGAAGGTAGGTTGGAAGGAAGGTAGGAAGTTAGGTAGGTAGAAAGGTAGGTAAGAAGGAAGGAAGGTATGTAGGTAGGTAGGTAGGAAGGTGGGAAGGAAGATGGGTAGGAAGGAAGGTAAGTTGGAAGGAAGGTAGGTAGGTAGAAAGGTAGGAAGGAAGGTAAGTAGGAAGGAAGGTAGCTAGAAAGGTAGGTAAGAAGGAAGGAAGG